CTTTCTTTCTTTCTTTCTTTCTTTCTTTCTTTCCTTCCTTCCTTACCTCCCTCCCTCCCTCCCTCCCAGTAGTTAGAATACAGCATTACAGGCTAACTCTGCCCATTGCCAGCAGTTCAATTCTCACCAGGCTCAAGATTGACTCAGCCTTCCATTCTTCCGAGGTGGGTAAAAATGAGGACCCAGATTGATGGGGGCAAAGAGGCTGACTCTGCAAACCGCTTAGAGAGGCCTGAAAGGCCTATGAAGCGGTATATAAGTCTACTGCTATTGCTATCTTCTCACCCCATTTGGGAAGTGAATCGCTGCAGTGGTTAAATTCCTAACACGGTCGTTAAGTGAATCTTTCCTTGCGAAAGGTCGCAAAAGAGGGGAAATGACACGACCCCGGGACATAGCAACCGTCATAAATCGGAGTCTGTTGTCAGGCAAATCACGTGACCATGGGGATGGGGATGCTGCAAGGGTGAAAAACGTGTCCTAAGTCACTTTGTTCAGTGGCATTGCAACTTCGAATGGTCACTAAACAAACGGTTGTAAGTCAAGGTAGTCCCCATTTGCTCATTAGTGACCCCCCTCTCTTCATCTCCCAGGGGTCCTGCAGGATAAAGACCTCTTCTCTGTTTTTGCTGACCCAGCCATGCTGGACACGTGAGTTAAGCTACTGATGCTTTTTTAAATCCATTTTTCTCTTTCATTTACTGATTTATTTGTAAAAATGTAATTAGCTTCCCATCTTGCCATACGGTAACTCTAGACTCTGCCAAACAATATCTATTCCTCCTCCTCCTCCTCCGCCTCCTCCTCCTCTTCTTCTTCTTCTTCTCCGTCTCCCTCCTCCTCCTCCTCCTCCTCCTCCTCTTCTTCTTCTCCGTCTCCTTCCTCCTCCTCCTTCTTCTCCATCTCCTTCCTCCTTCCTCTCCTCCTTCTCCTGCTCCTCTTCTTCTCCTTCTCCTTCCTTCCTCCTCCTCTACTCCTTCTCCTTCTCCTTCCTTCTTCCCCCTCCTCCCCCTCCTCCTATGGTCATAAGTGTGAAAAATGTTCATGTCTCTTTTCCCAGTGCCGTTGTAACTTGGAATCGTCATTAAAAGAACTGTTGTAAGTTGGGGACCTCCTATATCCTGGCAATCCAGCAGATTTTAGACTGAGGGATAGACTAGGCGAGCTTCGAGGCAAGAGCAATAGCCCTTAGATTTATATACCGCTTTACAGCCCTCTCTAAGCGGTTTTCACAGAGTCAGTCTTTTGCCTCAAACAATCTGGGTCCTTATTTTACTGACCTCAGAAGGACGGAAGGCTGAGTCAACCTGAAGCCTGGTAAGATTCGAACTGCCAAATTGCAGGCAGCCGGCAGTCAGCAGAAGCAGCCTGCAGTACCGCATTCTAACCACTGCGCCACCGAGGCCATCTAAACTCTATGATTCAGGGACTGTCTACCCCTCCTCCCCAGTTCATTCTCGCTGGTTTCTCTAGACTCATCCCAAGCCACCCCGCGTTGGTGAATGCCATCGTCCTGGTCCTCCACTCTGTGGCAGGCAGCGCCCCACTGCCCACCGCGGAGACCTCCTCGCGCAGCAGCATGCCTTCCAGCTCGTACCGCGACATGCCGGGTAAGGAGCAGGCTGTGACACGGAGGACAAATTGCCAGGTTTAACCCTTGGGGGCTACAGGGAGTCCTCGCTTAAGGACCGTTCGTCTAGAGGCTGTCGGAAGTGACAGTGGCGCTGAATGAATTAACGCCTGGTCCCGGAGCTTGCAGATCGTGGCCATTGGTGTCTGGTGGGAGAGGCCTTTGGGATGAGGTTCAGTCTGGCTTATTTCTCTCTTTCTCTCTCTCCTTCCAGGAGGATTCCTTTTCGAAGGCCTCTCTGATGATGAAGATGACTTCCATCAGGTAACGGGAGAAGACGGGGCGGGCATCTCTGAGAAGGAAAACCCAACACAAGAATGGAAGGGAATGGAAGAATAGAATAGAATGCAGAATAGAATAATATAGAGAATAGAATAGAGTAGTATAGAATAGAATAGGATCCAGAATAGAATAGTATAGAATATAGAGAATAGAATATAGAATACAAGAGAGAATTAAATAGAGGAAAGTAGAATAGAATGCAGAATAGAATAGTATAGTATATAGAGAATAGAATAGAGTAGTATAGAATAGAATAGAATGCAGAATAGAATAGTATAGAATAGAGAATAGAATATAGAATACGATAGAGAATTAAATAGAGGAATGTGGAATAGAATGCAGGATAGAATAGTATAGAATATAGAGAATAGAATATAGAATACGAGAGAGAATTAAATAGAGGAATGTAGAATAGAATGCAGGATAGAATAGTATAGAATATAGAGAATAGAATATAGAATACGAGAGAGAATTAAAAAGAGGAACGTAGAAGAGAATGCAGAATAGAATAGTATAGAATATAGAATAGAATATTGAATACGAGAGAGAATTAAATAGAGGAATGTAGAATAGAATGCAGAATAGAATGGAGAATAGAATAGAGAATACGATAGAGAATTAAAAAGAGGAACGTAGAAGAGAATGCAGAATAGAATAGTATAGAATATAGAATAGAATATTGAATACGAGAGAGAATTAAATAGAGGAATGTAGAATAGAATGCAGAATAGAATGGAGAATAGAATAGAGAATACGATAGAGAATTAAATAGAGGAATGTAGAATAGAATGCAGAATAGAATGGAGAATAGAATAGAGAATACGATAGAGAATTAAATAGAGGAACGGAATAG